ACACCAGGAACCTGTAAACTTACTGAATTACCAAAAAACATTTAAAAAACAAACATGTTTCATTGATATATATACAAAAATGAATATTAGGAACTATATTTATCAAACATTATACTGGGCAAGTAAAAATTGTTTCTGGGCAAATGAAATGTAAAAGTCACTTGCCCAACTATTAGGCCACCACTCCCCTTTTTATTCAGTATTAAGCTGCTTTGAGTCTTGCCTACAATGTGGAGTCAGTGAACAAGATGCAGTTATAATTTGAGAGGTTATGGAAGATGGTGATAAATCTTAAAATGTTTATTTGCCCTTTTAAGTCTGAGCCTCTCACTTCTTCAGTCTGGGAATGCCAGCGCCACCAGGATCGGACTGCTTCATTCTAAAGACAAGGTTTTTCCAAACATATCCGCGGTTGATGGTTCCATTTCCGCTTCAGTGAGCAGCTCTCACTGTTTGACACTGATAAGACCGTGTCCTTGAAGGCATCGTCGCGCCGCAGGACAAAGGTAATGATTGGGAGCTCGGAAAGGCTGCTGGGTTCTTTTTTTTTTTTTCCTGCTCAGAGAAGCTTTAAAGTGTTCAAGTTCACTCAGATTCTCACCGTCTGCGGGTTCATCTTCCCGGTCATCAAAGCCAGCAGGTCTGTATCCGACATGGAGATGGTGCAATCGGCTTTCTTGTCTGCAGGGTGGAGATAAAGAAGTTAAAGAGCAGAAATCTTTGCTGAGCTAAAGGGAAAACAGGGACAAAGCAGATAAGAGAGTCTATGCAGACCTTCAACTTTAAGCTGAACCTGCTGCTGGTTTTTCTTCCTCACCTGTGTCGTTGTGAACGCAGCCTTTACCGTTCTTCACGTCCACGATCCACGTGGCCTCCTGTCCGTTTGGCCCGTCCTTCACTTTAAAGGCAAAAATTCCCCCGATTTTCCTCACAAACTGCTCCCCTTCCTACAAAAGGAGAGAAGCGGGTAGTATGTGGTGGAGCTCACCCATAAATCCACACCTACTAACCCAGATGGACGAGGTTTAAATACCACAGCAGATAAAATAAGAGGCTGGTTGGTTTATATAAACAGCTGAAAGGTTGGAGATTCAGTAACTTCATGTTATATCTGCAAAAAGGGTTTTATTTAATTACCAGTAGAGATGCAACAATTGGTCGGCCGGCTGATCTTATCTACCAATCACTGTAAAGTCTAAAAACCAACAAGTTTTAATGCTCTAAACTTTGCATTTATTTTTTAGAAATATTATTTGAGAAGTCATGAGTGTTTCCCAGGTAGTTTTTAATTTCTCTAAGCAATGTTTCCTTTAATTTAAGAAAGTCAGACAGACCCAAACCCAAATATTCAACATTAAATGTAACAAAGTATGCAGTGAAATTAGAATCAAATAGGATTTAATATTGTAGAAATAAAGATTTATTAAAAAAATTTTACCTTTTCAAAGCATCTGAATTTCAGTCAGACTTATTGATAAAAAAAATATACTTTCAAAATACTTTACCTTTTAACAATTTCTGATTTTTTTATCATTTCATTGAGATTTATTGATGCAGAAATAAACATATATTCAGAATTCCTGATTTTTTTTTTCAAAATGCAAGATTCTTATGTAGCAATTTTTGCACACAAATGCTAATTTTCAAATGTGTTCTTTAGAAATTTATAGAAAAAAGTCATTCCAAAAACAGAAAATTAAAAACAATCCACTGGACTTTGTTTCCAAGTTTGAAGAC